CGTTACTAGCTCTATTCTGAAGTTTTTCTTACATGAATTAGTTAATTCAATGTCTTAATTAACATAGGAGCCATAATTCATGTACTACTAAAAAAAAACTTTTACTTAATACTGAACTAACTTGTATGATATTTTTATGGCAAACAAGATAACATCCTACTCTATAGAAAGCGATAACTATCGACATGAACAACACTATGAACATCACTAATTACATTGTAACGCTCATAATACTCTTTATGCATTGTAATTTCTTTGGATTAATGTAATTTGCTTCTTTTTATGCTTATAAAATCATTAAATGCCTTGCATAAGAGCACTGATATTGATATTTTCCATAATACAATGGATGGAATGATGAGGAAACTCACAAAGGCAGATCATGCTAACTTTAATAAATAGATAGGTATGTAGGTATTTTGTAGTTAATGATAAGAAGCTTTTTGATGCTTGTTGTCAATAACTAACGACTAAAGATCTGAACATGTAGCTGTGATTTGACAGAAGTAGTAAAAAACTGATTATTCTTGCTAGATTCTTGCTTGCAATTTTTCTCTCTTCTTTTTTTTGCTTAAATTTATTTTATGTGATGCACATTTATTGGATGTCTGTATTTGTCTTGATTATTGTTAGCAGTAAATCATTTAAATTCTATGTACTTGTATTAGATCTAATTTTGTATAATTTTTTTTAACATATTATACATGTACCTTAATAAAAAAAAGAAATAAAATAATTTATCTTGACTGTCTATTTATGCACAACGAAAACTACAAGGTAAAGCTGAGATGTGAAGTATAGGTTTATTTTATAACATAGAAAAGAACTTTAAAAAATTTCAACTTAAAGGGAGTGGTGTGGGAAAAGGAACTTTGTATATTAAAAACATAACAACACGCAAAGCCATAGGCGATAGTTAATACCCTATAATTTTGAATACTAAATTTTTTTTTATACTATTTGTGTACTGGGCTTTAAACCAATGCATTTATGTGGGTGTGTCTCTCCCGCGAGCCAAATTGTTATTCAGCTATTAGGATAACAGTCTCATAACTCTCCCTGCAAGGTCACCGATCCTTGTCTCCAGGCAATTCTGCCAAGTGGGAAGGTCAGGTTTTATAAATGTTTGCAATAATCATTACCAGTCTAGACCAAGGTGTATGGATGACAAAATCTGGAATACGAATCTACTTGTACTGGGTATTTTTAAACTATGACGTAAATTTTTTTATTCTTTTAAGTAAGTCGATAACTGAAAAATCGATAGTAGTGCAAGCGACATCACTATTGCGCATGCGCAATACTATTTTGTAATCTCAAAATAGCGTATTTTTAGCTTTGCCCATCGTGAAGTTAGTTTTACGTATTACATTATCTGTGGTTTTACTAAAATATAATCGTAGTGTAAATTTGCTAAATTATAATAAGATTTAGACCAAACAACTAACTTACTACTTACAATAGAACCTAACTTTTGAGAATACCTATAACCTATATTATTAGATAGGATAGCTAAATCTTAATTTTAAGGCTTAAGTTAATAGTTTTGTCCAAATTTGATGCAGAAAAGTTGCAATTTAATATATAAAATGAACTAACTAAACGTACATTTGTGGCATATAGAAGTTAAAACTGTATGTCTGACAACTATCTAATTATATGCTTCCTATGTATTTTGCAAAAATAACTTACAATTCAAAAGATATTAATTATAATAATTTAAATGCACCGCTAACTCAATTACTTAAATCAATTTTAATTATTATTAGGTACTTAAATTATATTAGAGTCGATATTTATGCAAATCAATTATCCTTAATGAATTTCTTATTTAATTATTTTTAAATGATTGTCATTTGTGTTGAAGTATAAAGAATTATTATTATGAAGTTAAAACCCTCAGTGTTTTAGTTTATATAATTCTTAACAATTGTAATGAAAATTATAAATATTGTTCCCCTTTACTCAAATCATATAGGTTTGACAATACAGTGTAATGATGTATAATATTAAAAATGATATCTCTCTTTATAGACGGATGACACACCACACTTCCATAATACACCTTTTTTCTTCTTACTGATGTTTTTCTTAATCCAAGTTTTTGTTTTTTTTATGTAGCTTATAATTACAAATAAGCTGACGGCCCACCTGATAGAAAGTGGCAACCGTCGCCAATAGACACGAGCAGTAAGTACCATGGACATAACAGAGAGGAACGCATGGGGACTATCACGGGCGAAACAGTATTTCGCCCGTGATACTCCCCATGCGTTGCCCATTCCTGAGGACTCAGGTGTTATTCTTCTGTACCCTGTAAATTTACTGCCATATCCCACCCTTCAAACCGAAACACTGCCATGCAAACACAACTGCTTCACAGTAGAAACACGAATGGGACAGAGGTGCCCTAGCAAACGACTTTTGTACAAAAGTTGTCTGAAAAAGCTTGTTTTTTTTTCATGTATTGTTATGTGTAATCATATATTTATAGATGAACCTATTCATCTTGATATCGATCATTGTTTTTAACAAATTCTCAATTTGAAAGAAATTAAAAACAAATTCTTTGCATTTTTTGAAAATATCAACTGTGCCTTATACATACATTTTGATAAGTTGATTTGAACTTAGATACTTACCTCAAAAACGCAGGATTAGTATAATAAATACAATAAGATTATATTATAGTTATATACTTAGCCGTATGGTCCTGTCCTAGAATATACCACCCTTTCTTTTCCCATGGGTGTCGTAAAAAGCGACTAGGGATGAGCGACTAAGGGAGAGCGAGAGATGGGCAGCAACGACCTTCTTAAGGGGAGGGGTAAAGATTTGTACAAAAAAGGCATATTTTTGTGACGAGACAGTTAACATCCGAAGAATATTGTTTAAAATTTTCTAGAAGAAATATTAAAAAATACGCCAATGGCAGCAATTATTCGGACGTGGCTCAGAAAAATGTAGAATTGCGGTGCCCAGTTTGGTACTAGATCTTCCGAAATTAAAAAATTAAAATTCATTGGTTACATAATAGTTTTCCCCAGATAACGGTGGGAGAATTTTTCGAAATTTGATGAAAAAAACGCGATTTTTGCGAAAAAATAGGATATTTTGTTATTGTGAAATAAAAATTCTTAATAAATATTCAACTCAAGTGCTTTGGTGAGATTATCCAATTAAGTTGGTTTAAACTCTCATTGTTGTTCTGCGTGAAACTTCCGACACATCACTTCAGGAGGACATTTTTGCTCAGATCGTCATAGAAAGGTTTGATGGCATCCAAAACCTACTTGGGAAGAGCATAATACGTGTGTTTACTATATATGCTTTCGCTTTTACGTTTTTCGGAGGTACAATTTTTCTAGGTTGATATAATTTCGAATTAGTTGATTGCCTATCAGATCTTTTAGTTTTTTTAGGCATTTCAGTAATAAAAAAACTAAAATTATGCGAAAATAGGTACGCACATGTACGTTTGCTCGACAGAATATTTACTGCTACACAAAATTTTATACTCTACACTGACCAAATACAGGTAACAGTACAGGTATAGGGACGTTTGTACTTGTGTTGAAATTTCAATAAATAGAATTGGGGGGAGGGGGTAAGATTCGGCATTATATAGAGAGCGAAACATCTGCCAGGTAACAATAGCGCGCTTAGGTCGTGTAGGTACTAAAATTCGACAGGTATAAAAATACTCGTAACTTCGTCTATTTTGTTCCGATCGACTTCAATTTGACGTAGTACTCTTGAAATATTATGCATTCAATTAAAAAGAAAATGCGAAAAAAAAAATACTTTAGCCCTCTTAAAACATCTTCAAAGCCTAACTGCGATAGTCAATCCGCCTGTCAAGCGTGACAACTACTGGCAAAACCCCCCCAAAGGGGGAGGCTTATGTTGTGGCATAATGTGGAGGCAGTAGTGGGTAGTTAAAGACTGATATCAATAATTATAATATTATACCGTTAACTGTGCACTACTGTCTTTCCTATAAGGGGGATTTTGCCAGTATTTGCCAAGTTATTATAAATTATAACACTTATAATAATCATGTATTATTTAAGATACATTGTACATACAAACCTTTCGTAAAAAGTATGTAAATGTCAACGAGTTCCGAATCAAAATATGTTGTATGGTTTGGAAGTATGCGGAGAAACAGATAGAAGCGGACAGCAACTTTTTATTAGTAAATCATTCTTCCTACGAGGTGGGCGTAAATTATATCTATAGTAGGTACTTATAATAAAATTGTCTATGATAAATCTTTATAACGCAAAAGAAACTACCCACATATCACTAGAGGAAATGTGAAACAAAAGAGAGTATCGGATTACTATCTAACGAGCTCTTGATCACGCTATTGAGATCATGTAATAAAAAATACAATGTTGAACACAATAATGCTTAAACAATAAAACTCATATACGTCATACTCGAGCACCTAGAAGACAGGTGTACTCATATTTAATAATTATGATTGTTAATAATAATTTACTTTAAATAATACACACTATAATGCTGATTATTGTCTTTAATTCACAAACCCAATAATAGTATTTATTTCACAAATATGCAACAATTTTCTATTTCAGTTTATTTGAACAGAGTCAAGAGTTCAAAAACCTACTGACTTTCTTAACAGGTTATTTCAATAGGGTATTCCAAATCTAAATCCAGTGTTAGAGTTTAAAAAAGTGACAATTTAAAAGTACTTGTAAATAAGTCTATTTAAATAAAGATGGTTTCTATTCTAAATGCATAATTTTATATAATATCTCTAAACCGTTCCCTTTAGCTGCCATCTCTAATTCTAGTTTAACATTATGATACTCGTAGCTAAGACTGAGCCGAAATACATAAGTACCAACAAATACTTGAAAGGCAACAATGAGAAAAAAAAATGTGACAAAGTTCATAGACTCCTCTCATAAAGGATTAGGGCCCTAGCAGCGGGAAACGTTAAGTGGAGGTGGTCCTTATCTGTGACTGTTTCAACAGCTAGCAAGCAAGCGGAGTGGGGTGCACACTAACACAACACTTGTTCTACGTCGTGAGCGGACGTCGCACGTAGCGCCCGCGCACACTCAAATCGACTTTCGAATACGATCCATTCGATTTTTGAATTGTTTAAAATGTATCCCGAAACAGTGCTAAGGTGAAATCGACTGCTCTTTGTGACACGTGATTTTAAATACCAGTGCATTGGAACGTACATTTTTGTGAAGGATTTTTTTACGGAACCACCCTGTAACGTATCAAGGTAATTTTGTTTTTTTTTTCGTTTATATTTTGTAATGTTTTAGTTTTTCTATTATCTCCGGTGTTTTTTTTTTAATTATTTGTTGCAATTGTCTTAGTTTCATACCCTAATTACAACATACCTTCTACCATATTTCGTTACCACCATACTTCGTTATTCGATTCAGACACTTTCACGGAGTGACTGGCATACATAGTAAAATGATATTAATATAGTATTTGTCAACGGTAAGCGGTACAAATCTTCAGATTATTAAAAGATTAAATAATTACCTTCCGACGACTCGATCCAATGGGATTCGAACCCACATCTTACTACTTTTCAAGTTAAATTATTCCCAAATATGAGGTTACGTATTAAAAATATTTCTCCGATCATCAGATTCTATGAAAACATTATTTAGTAGGTATATAATTTTAATTAAATAGAAACTAAAGGAAACTCATGTTCTCTCAGGTCGAAGCCTTCAATCGTGAATAGTAATGCGCATGTTTAGTTCTTAGTTGCGTACTTACTAACTAACACTGTTACACGAGAAGGGGGAGGGATAGTTAGTAATGCGGGCTACCAGTTCTATTGGTAGCAATATACTCTCTAAGGTCGACCTCCATATAGTCCCCCTGAAATCAATATTGCTGAATTCCAGATATATTCATCACGATTGGCTTTTTTTTAATGGACGATAATGGAATGGTAACCCCGCCTGCGCTAACGGCATACGCTCATACCTCACTGATGCCCCATCAGTGAGGGGTGATAGGTGGATACTAAAAAAGCAGGTCAGTTAGCCCATCGTGATGAATGCATCTAGAATTCAGCACGATGGTTTCCAGGGGTACCACGTGGAGGTCGACCTGACAGGGTACATTGCTAGCAATGGAACTGGTAGTCCGAACTACTAACAATCCCTTCCCCCCAAATCACGATGGGCTAACTCACCTGCCTTTTCATTCTCACCTATCATCCTTCACTCATGTCCTTCCAGCGTATACCCTGCCTGGGTTACTATTCTATTATCATCCATTAAAATAAATCGTTACACGTTATTTCTTTAAATAAACGGAAAAGCATATAAATATAATTAGTATATGCGTTTATTTTAGATAGGTATATTTATATAAATAAATTATTTACTGATCAGCTATCAATCAGAGAGGCGAACACTAATTATTCTTAAAATGCATTTTTTTTATCCCCCGAAGTAAGAAATTTAAACTATCATGCATACATAATTATATCGACTGAATTAATTACCAAATTGTTTGAAATTATGTATTAGTAAATATCTATAATGGAAATGTATATGTATATTTACATTAATTTATTTATTTTTCAAGCTGCAGATAATTCTAAAAAGGTTTTTTTTTTACATATCTCCGTCTAGTCATAAATTAAGAAGGGCTTGTAATTAATACTAAACAACTGATAAAAATTCTTTTAAACTGTTTTTCAGAGAAGATAGATACATATTGATTATACATTGAAATAGGTCCCGGGAATGATTTTTAAATGAATGGTAATCTCACCTGCGCTAACGGTATACACTGACAAGGCACCAGAGAGTGATGATAGATGGAGAAAAAAAAGCAAGTCAGTTAACCTATCATGACGAATTCACTTAGAACTGAGTACAAAAGTTTTTAGGAGGAATCGTGAGGAAGTCGACCTAACAAAGTGTATTGCTAGCAATTGGCCTACTAATCCCCATTATTACCAATTCCTTCTCCCTTCAAAAATAAATACTTAGCCAATACAAACAGATTTATCCATGAATACAAATATTAACATTTTGCGGGGTTAAAACTGGCGACCATTTATTTATTTGAATTTTATTTACCAATAAAAAAGGACTGATTACTATAAGCATTTTCTACTAGTCAACCTTTAGGATGTACAAAGATGTTCAACGGCTTTAAAAAATAAAATCATATTTTAGTATAAGATGGTAAATTACATACATATAAACATTCATAAAATAAACATACATATTAATATAGTATTTATATATTAGTACCTACATATAAATATATACATGTACATACACATATGATGAACTACTGCCTACTTGATTACTTGTTTTCATTTGGAGAATTTAATAGGTGAGCCTGAATACACTTCTTGAAGGTATATTAGAAATGGTTATGGACAATAAGTTACAGAGTAGTAAAGAGCCATCGGAAAGTGAGGCGGAGTGTTAAATGACAAATCGATATACCCCCGAGGTAGTCCATTGATTTGGATTTCCTTTTAAAGTGATTTTATGATAACATTTCAATGAAAAATAACATTTGAAGAGGTTCTCTATAATTAAATTCTACAAAAAGCTAAACAATAGACACGTATATTCACCAAGTAATAATAATACTAGTACGCAAATTACAATCAGACATAAATTTGCATACGGAAAATGGGCAAACTAAAATCCATATAAAAATATTACAATACAAGTGACGAAACAGATTTCACGTTCGCGCTACATACAATAAGATACAGTTTTCCGTATATTACGAATATTGTATAGTATCAATAGCTTTTGTAAGCCATACTGATTACAATTTTCAAATAATAAAATTGTGTGTAAAACGAGCGTTCAATAGTTGAAAACATCAGCTGTATAATACATGTACTGTATGTGTAATACATAAAAATCTTACTATTTGTGTAAGACACAAAATATAATGTAGATCTTAATAACTAATTTAAAATAATTTATCTATTAAAAAGGTAACATATAAATAAACTCATTTTCGCATTTGTAATATTAGTAAAGATATATTTAATACATAAAAGTGTTATTAAAGCAAATATACAATATATATATTCTCGTCCTTTGCATAATTGACACACTTATGAAATATTATGTAACCTTTTTAGGCACTTTCTTTATGTTTTTCTTATTATTAATTTATTAATTAATTAATTTATTTATTCATAGGAAAACCAGGGCTACACTACAACAAATGGATACAGTTTTAGGATAACAAAATAAACCACTAATAGATTTTCACAAGTAGCAACAATATAGCACAAGGCGCTATACACAAAGCAACAAAAATAGCTAAAAATCTGCTGACATGTAAATATATATATATATATATATATATATATATATATATATATATATATATATATATATATATATATATATATATATATATATATATATATATATATATATATATATATATATATATATATAAGTATTATGTGCTAAAATTTTGAGCTATCAAGTTAGTAAAAACCATATATCATTTCAGCTGTTAACTGACCACTGCTGAGCATAATAACCCCAGATAGACTTTGGAATGTTTTAAGAGGGACCCTGCCCATTCCTCGACCATTAAGTTGCTACAGAAAAGGAAAGGGTAGCCTATTCTATGCCGGGACCACACGGCAATCGTTTAGTATTAATGTAATTTCTGATTCATTCAAAACCTAATTATCCATTGCACATACTCATTAGTTCTCCAATAATATAGATAAAAGTGTTTAATTAATTAATTATAACTAGTTTGAATTATAATTATACAATAAGTAACGTTCAATTAATTTTTTGATAATGTACAAATGGATTTATCTATTAAACTTTTGACTTTGTCCTTTACCTATCCGTATTATATGTATATAAATATTACCATGATTATAAGAAGTATTTATACATTTATAAAGATCTCTTTATAGATATGTAAATAAATTCTGGTAAACATTGTATTTAACTATAGTCAGAAATGACATTTGAATCAAAGATGTAAACAAAGGAATTAGTATGTAGAAAATAAATAAATTAGTTTATGTAGCCCGTTCTAAAAAAAAGAATACTGGGCTAGAATTCTATGCATATATTAAATATCTGGAACTTAATAAACTTTTTTAAACATTTTTTGTTCATACCAGCCGTCCATTGTCTATTGTTGAACATAGGCCTCCCTCAAAAGGAGAGTTTTGCCATTAGTTGCTACTTTGGCGATGGGGCTTTTATGATGGTTTAACAGGGAAGTTGTTGTCCATCTCTCGTCTCGTCTATTAAGTTCTAAATGCGTTGCTAAGCGCAAAACATGAGATCGGCTCAACCAGTTCGGCAATTTTTTTATTCTCATACAGAGAAATTTCATTTACAAACTTACAATCTATATAATTGTAACTAAGCTATGCCCGTACATAGGAGATCTTTAAAGAAAATGACCATGAGAAATCTCAATTAGAGCAATAAATGCCAAAATAATAATCTTTAGAATCTCTGTTCGTATACATTTGTTCCTGTTTTATGCAAAAATTATTGCACTAAATTAGATACGGATTTCACAGTTATGTTCTTGAAGGTCAAACTTAAAATCCAGTGTATGTTTTTCTATTTCATTAGTTTTACTATGTCCAATATAATGTTAGTGTTGCGGTATGCATTGATAATATATATCTTATAAAAAATTGTTTTCTCTGCCTACCTCATAAAAACATGCCGTAAAATAAAGTTAAATTGTTTTACGGTTTATGTACTTATCTATTAGCAGACAAGTTAAACGAACCAATCAAAATCCACATCTCCTTTTTTGTACTTCAACGGATATCCTGTAAGCAACGTCATTGTGCGCTAATTTTGTGTCTTAAGATTATGCTTTGTATTAGTTCAATTGTCATGTAAGTTATTTAAAACGAAGTTTCATTTAATTTTAACGATTTTAAAATAACTTATATTTCAGCCGTTGTTTATTTAGATATATTATTTGTTTATATGAGTACTTAATGTGCGTGTGGTCCCGGCATAGAATAGGTCACTGCTACCTTTCCTGTGGCTGTTGTAAGAGGCGACTAAGGGAACTTAATGGTTGAGGAGCGAGCAGCAACGTCTCTCTTAAAACATCTCTAAAATCCTAAATGCGGTTGCCAACACGCCTGCCAAACGTGACAATTAAAACTCCCCTTATGGGAAAGGCTTATGTTCCGCAGTTGACAGTTAACGACTGAAATGATAATGATGATTACTTAATATTATATTTTATTGT